TTTATCAAGAGTTCATTCTAAGTCTTGTCATATGACTGATTTATATCGAGCAGAAACCACTGCACAGCGAGAATTTGGCAAATGGCATTTACAGCTTATGCATAATCAGAAGTATGAGTAATGTGTTTTCCATTCTCCCTTTTTTCTCTCTTGCTGTATCTTCTGCTTCGTTAGATTTTTTTGTAGCTTCTTTTAGTTGAGATAGAGTAAAGAACGATAAAAAGCAATTTGTCTTTGTAAAACTCGTTGATGCGTATACTGAATGGGAAGGAATACTAATGTAGTAATATTCAAGATAAAGAAAACAATATTTGCAAGTTGTAGTACCTCATGAAACAAAATATACAGTCTCTGAGTAGTCTTCCTAAAGGTGTCTTACTTCCCTAGGGCCTTAGAAAATCACCAACCAAAGCAACTAATTTATACTCATCAGTCGCGCTCTATAATTGGTCAGAGCATAAGCGGCCGTTGTTGGTGACGTAGATTCGCTTAACCTTCTGGGATAGCCGGCCATGGAAAACCAGTTTGGGATGTTTACAAGCCTCCAGGGTAGGTCACTGTGGTTGCCACACGCTCTCGGCACCTCTCATCTCGTGGAGGTCAGAACCCACCCCTTTTTTGATATAGGTTCTGCTGGTTCTTCTTGGTTGCTGATACATGTTCTGGCGTCAGGATGGTTACTCATAAACTGCGATTATTACAGTGGCTGTGACTTTACGGACCAAAAATGTTAAAAAAGGTGATGATATATTAAATCTACTTATAATTGATAGTTAAACCCTCACAAACCTCAAATGCCTTATTTTTTTATGATTCTAAGGTCATCAACATCATTATATAAATTATGCATAGTACTTCGACAGGCTTGGATATAGATAAGACGTAGCTTATGTACGTAGAAGAGGCCAGTATAGGCCAGTTCGACATACCTTTCCTGTTGTAAACTAGGTAGCATATTCGCTTTGTTATACCCACTCATATTTTGCCTACGTGATGATAGCGAAGCTAGGTGCCAAATATCTTCTCCTTGGCGGTGAGCCCCTTGTTTTGTGTTAAACAGGTTTGTTGTTTTGGAGTCTATGACGTCAGAGTTAAAGGATCTCTATAAAGTTGTTTTCTGAACAAGGCAGAATCGCATAAAAAACCTATACGGGTATATTTTTTTTCATTTGCTATTGGTCTGTTATTTCACTTCACCGTAAACCAACAGGTACGAATACACAGGTTTTCATACAAAGACTCTGCGTTCTGAAATATATAAATGCCATGTATTCATTAACAAGGAGTTATTTTTTCGTATAACGATGGTGCATTTCCATGACTGAGTTCCAAATATAGGAAAATCATTTGACTTTAGAGTGGAGATAAGGGGCACTCTAAACAGAAAGGGGCTTAGTTTATAGCTACCTCGTAACTGTTGTAATAAATTTCAAAGATAGAGTTAATTGCAGAGCTAAGCAGTTTGATGATGCTAGTAAACATTATAATAATGATCTTTAGTGTTGATGTTGATATTTGTGGTAATATCAATATCAATGATAATATCAACAAAACAGTGATGACTTGATAATGATAATAATAATGATAAAATAACTACAAATCCATAGTAAAGATAATGATAATAAGTTGATCGTTACAGTACAACACCACATAAATAACTGTTCCTCCAATTTTGCAACCAAGAAAAAAGTCAAGTTATGCTTAAAATAACGAAAGAACGAGAAGTTGCACAAAGAAACAAAAATGGAAGCCATATGGAACACACACAAAGTTAACAATGATAAAAATAGGTCATACACTCTATATTGCACCCTTTCTCCTGACCAGGAAAGTAAGCAGAAAACTCCCTCAAATGCAGCTGAAAAAAAGGAAACAGAATGCAACACAATGTGCTATCTGTCACGTGCAGACAACCACAACGGCACTAGGGCGGGTCTGTCAGTTGTGTAGTTATGTGATCCTGAGACCACTATCATATACGTGACTATTTCTTCGTACTTTCCGCCTTTTGAGAACGAAACGGTGTTAGTTGGTGGTTCGAATCGCCTCGTGGGATTGTGAAGTTCTCGGGGGTTGTAAGATAGGTGTGGGGGGGATGTATATGTAGGTCTATGGATGATGGTTGGGAAGTGTAAATTTTGGGAGGAAAATGATTATTAAAAAAAGAAAGAAAATGTGGTTTGAGATCAGTTGGTGGTGTCTCCTTTCTCTGTGATATTGGCATTCAAAGGTCAGATGCCCAGGAATTGTTTTTTTTTTTTTTTTTTTTTTTTTTTTTTTTTTAAATGGGATTGGTTTTACGTGACTAAAATATTTTTTAAGGTACGCACACGCAAACACTCACACACAAACTCTCTCTCTCTCTCAAACTAGATTCATGCTGATTGAACTATATGGGTATCAAATCATTCCTACCAGAAAAAAAAACATTTTTCGTAAATTTTATGTTGCTAACTTCTGTCTGGCTTCTTGACAAAAAAAAAAAAAAAAAAAAAAAAATAGTCCCAGACAGGATTTCGTCTTCTCGGAACACAACAGCCGCGTCCCAGACAATGATATTCAGAATGAGGCCAAAGCAACAAACCTTTCTACTGTTTTTTCTTAATTCCACGTCTTGTAATCCCCTAATAGATATTCATTTCCGTCACGTCTTTTCCCTCCTTCCTTGGATATTTAATTTAGTGTGATTAACGCGACCAAAGATAAAAACAAAGGAAATATCAAGAGAAGAGAACATTAACCCAGCAGACATCAAAGCTAGTGCCGCCGCCGACCGCAAAAGGCGCTGGCGAGCTCACTGCCAGCCGGTGTTTTCTTTCGTGAATATGTGTAACACAAATGCAAAACAAAAGGATAATACCTCTACGACAAAGTAATTGTTTTTTTACGAACATCGAGTGAGATTGAATTCTCTCTTTTTCTGGAAATATAAAGAAAAATAATAATAAAAAATAGGATAAACAAGCTTTCTTCAGACTATAGATTTAGGATTTACACAATCGAGTGGGTTTTGATTTTCTCTATAAATAATTTAAAGAAAAACTTAAAAGAATGAAACAAGGATAAACAAGCGTTCTTCAGACCTTTATAGATTTCGTATTTACACAATCGAATGGGATTTGATTCGCTCTCTCTCGTCTGGGAAACAAAAACGCCGACAAAAGGAGATCAAATCCTCTTCCTATGTATTTTTGTATCTGTTCCAGCAATGCATCTGGCTTGTGGCTGTCTTCTGTCTGGGGGAAGGGGATACACCTTCCTCTTAATATCTTCTTACTCCTAAATCTTGTTAAGTGGAAGACCTACAGCGCTAGTGCATGCGTGGACGCGGCGGTGTATGGTTAAAGCACTGTGTCGCGAGGTAGACACACGCCCTTGATCTTTGATGGAGAATGGAGGCGGTTTCATAAAGGGGGAGGAGAGGAGGGTCGAAATTTAGGAGTCTTCGCCCGTACTATGGCTTTACAGAGCCGCTTTGTTGGAGATGATGACATGTTTAGACGTACGTGCATACATAATGTGTGCGTGCATATATATATATATATATATATATATATATATATATATATATATATATATATATGTGTGTGTGTGTGTGTGTCCATATATATATATACATATATGATTGTAAGTTGACTACGTATATGGACTGTAAGTGATCATATTAAGGTTTCAAAAGACGTCAACACAAGACCACGCCCTCTTCCTTAACAACACCAACTCTTCATAATGAAATAAGACCATTTACTAAAGAAACTAACGTAGCATAACATAACGTCATTCATTCACCAAAGCGGCTCACACACACACACACACACACACACGCGCGCACGCACACGCGCGCCTACGCCTACCACACCAGTCTCACCATACTTCTTGACCTTGATTGCGTCACCGTGTATGAAGCCCCATAGTGATGCCTGGAAATGCGTTAGTGTGTACTGGAAGTGGAAGATGCGTCGAGGCTTCATACACGGTGTCTTGGAATTTCTTTGATAGTGGGAAAGTTTATGTCATTTTTTCTTCCTATTTTTTAATGTTTGTATCTTCATCAATTTATTGATTTTTCTTCTACAAGACGGTGTATATATGATCTATGCTTAGATAGTTTTATTATATTTCATATATATATATATATATATATATATATATATATATATATAACATATATGTGTGTGTGTACTATTTTCACACGATTTTGGTTCGTTCTGCATTTGGTGATACAATTTCATATATTCTTTTTTTATGAAAGAGATAACTCGTATAGATATTACCTTTCAATGACGTATATTTTAGCGAGACGCATAAGTAACCGAAGTTTGAATTAAAAGTAACATTATACTCTTCCCAGCGATATGTGCATTCCTCTTACATAGATACAAACAAATTCATGTATGTGACATTTTTTTTTCTTTTTTGTCGACGTTTCGTACCTATGTGAATTATCGAACTAAATACGATCTATTCCTTCAAAAAATAATTATATATCTTATTAGCTGATGTTTCAGTAACTGATTGTTGTCATACGAGGTCAAATTCACTCGGCATTCATTCACTCGAACCGATAGGAAGAGACAGCGAGTATGTCTAAGGAAACAGCCATTCCTACCCTGAAGGATGAACACGAGCTCGGTATCCGTATCTGGTTTCATCCCGGTGATCAAGGTAACTCGATCGGATAGGCTGCCTCGTATATTCTTCTCTCAAGGCAAATAAGACAATATTTTCAAGTCTTAAATCCTTTTTTTCTTCTTCTCACTCTCTTTCAGGGTGGACACAACCCAGCAGGGAAAGGACCTTTCAAAGCAAAAGTATATTTCACTTATCTTCCTTTTCTCATCTCTTCATTGTGGTCACAGCCAAGCAGGGAACGAACCTTTCAAAGCAGAAGTACATTTCACGATTCCCTTCCCTTTTTTCTTCTTTTACGGTGGACACAGCCCAGCAGGGAAAGGACCTTTCGAAGCAAAAGTACATTTCCTTTTTTCTTCTCTTTTCAGGGTGGACACAGCCCAGCAGGGGAAGAACCTCTTGGATTTCGGTGGGATTACTTACACGTCTTACCTCCAACTTCACAAAATCCTCAATGCTCAGACCATGATGTCGACGGAGGATGGGACACCCGTTCACGATGAGCACCTCTTCATCATCATTCATCAAGGTGGGTGCGGAATAGTGGAAGTTCTGAGGGAAATCCTTGATTGCCTGTTACTTTGGAACTGGAGGAGTAGGACAGGGGGGTAGGGAGAATGGACGAAGGAGGATAGAGGTCTTAATGAAAAAGGTGTCAGTGTAGAGGATAGAACAATGTGTCACTACCTGAGTCTCTATTCTAGGAGTATCGTAAGTTGATTTGGAAAGACAAGTATATTTTGTTTATGTGAGATATAAATTGATGATACAAATATCTTGCAAAACGATTTAAAGCGACATTGAACAGATAACACAAACGTCATTTGCTAATACAGATATATAGATTACCAACTATGGGATTAAACAGCATATCCAGACATAGAAAAGGCATGTAATAGAATGAACATCTTCACAGTACAAGAGATGGTATTTAACCGGTTTTCAAACATAATCTCCATCAGCAATACATGTATGTCTCACGAAGATATATTCGAAACAAAAATACGATATATTCGAAACAAAAAATACATCTTTTGTATTGCCAAAGTATTCATTCCCATTCATACCTTTTTCTACACATCAACATGAATACGGGTTCAGCATATTCAGATCTCAACATCGTCTCCCTCGCCCAACAGCATACGAGCTCTGGTTCAAACAAATCATCTACGAGATCGACTCAGTCAGGGAGATCTTCAGTCAAGAGGAGGTCGACGAACACAAGATGTTGGAGATTGTCAAGAGGATGCAGCGAGTCACCTTGATCCTGAAGGTTAGTTTTTTTTCGTCTTTCTCTCTTTCTTTCGATTTTTTTTTTTTGGGGGGTGGGGGGGGGGGTTGAAGACCATTAAAAATAGTAGCATAAAATGAAACGAGGAGACACACCAACGTAGAAGGAGAAGGAAGAGGAAGAAGAGAAAAAGAAGAAGCAGAAGCAGAGGCAAAAGAAGAAAAAGAGGGAGGAGAAAAAAGAAAGAAAAAAGCAGAAGAAAAAGAAAGAATGAACAACAAGAAGCAGAACGAAAAGAAAAGAAAATAGAAACCAAAATGGCACTGAGCGAGTGAAAAGAACTGATAGTTGATTCGACAAGTACCCCCGACGCGATGAATGAAGTAAGGACGGCAGAGGACGTGCGGTCAGGGCAGGACAAGGAGGAGGAGGAGGAGAAGACATGTCAAAAGTCACGTGTAGGTAAGGCGAGGCAGCCTAGAAGCCCTACAGGGTTGTGTGTTGTGGTTCTGGCAGGGGACGGTAAGCTGGCCCTCCTCCGACGGCGCCAGGGTGAAGTCGGGCCCGGCGGTGTGTTCACGTGACAATGGACATGTTACGCAAATATTGTGTGTATTAAGGGTGTACTGTGTGTGCGTCGCGCACAGTCGCTCCGTATATGCACATATAAGCTCGGTATGTACATACAAAAACATACTAACGTGCTACGGAATTTTAGACAAACAACACAGCAGACTAAACAGTAACCGGCGAATGCGCATTCTTAACACGTTAGTCTCCGGCTGGCATTTTTTTTCGCTATATAAGCAAATCCACTGCTGACTTCAGTTCGCTTCGCACAACCATTCATTCAACAAGTTTACAAATAACAACGATAAACCCTTTTCTAAATCCTTGTATCCAGTAAAAGGATCACGAAAGAACCTAGAAGTCATTAGCTTGAAAAACGAATGAAAATAAAACGAGGCTCTTTTACATTAGAAAAAAAAAAACAAAGAACGGAAACTTCTACTGCAGACTCAGTGACGTCACTCCAGTCTGCGTTCGCTAATCAGTTAAATCATTGTTATTCCTAACCGTTCCTCAAAATTGTCACGTCACCTTTGCCGCTTTGAGAACGAGTGAGAACGTTACTGCACGTACAGTACTTTCTCGCTTGCAACAATGCAGTTATCCTTACCAAGGTTGTCTCAAGCAGAATCCAATTCACGTGAAAAGTGATAGGCAGCCATTAAAGTCAGAGCTCCGGTCCCACTGAAAAAGGACAGCGCCATCTCTTTCTGTTTTTTCTTGTTAATCTTTCTCTCCTTTTTCTTTTTCTCTTGCGATTTAGAGTAAAGGGGAAAGTAGAGGGAAATCAAGAGTTAAATTTTATAGTTAGTGATAGAGTTCGCATAAGGAAATCGAAGAGAAATTTGAAAATAATAAAAAATGGTAGAACAATTGTACGGGTCCCAGTGGGACACCCAAGAGCACGTACACACACACACGCGCGCACGCACACACACACACACACACACACACACACACACACACACACACACACACACACACACACACACACACACACACACACACACACACACACACACACACACATACACAGTTAGTTTGTACATTCAAAAGTGAATGTTAGGATTCATGATTCAAATTACAGTAACAACAGCGGCAGACAACAGTAATAGCAACAACAGCAACAGAAATAAGAAATCACCACCACTACCAACCACCATCACTACCTCCTCCTCCACCTCCACCACCACCACCACCACCTCCACCCCACCCCACCACCCACCTCCACCACCTCCACCTCCACCACCACCACCACCACCACCACCACCACACCACACTCTTCCTCCTCATCCTCCACACCAACACCACCTCCTTCTCCACCTCACCACCACCAACTCAACCACCACCCTCCGCATCCTCCTTCTCCACCACCACCACCACCATCACCCACCTCTTTCTCCACTCCACCACACCTCCACCACCTCCACCACCACCACTACCACCACCACCTCCTACACCACCTCCTACACCACCACCACCACCTCCTACCACCACACCTTCACCCACACTGCTACACACTACCGACATATCCCTCCCCAGAAAACATATAACAGAGACAAGATAGTGCTAAATATTGACTGAATTTTTACATACGTAATCGTGCGTGAGACTAGGCGCATATCCTACACAAACACACAGTCGACCCATTCTGAAGCTCTCTGCCTCCTTTGGGAACCATTGAAGACATGAGCAATTTCTCCGCGCTGCCCAGAACCTCTGCTTATGCTTCTCTGTTGGCCTTTTCTGTCTGTTTCTCTCTGTCTTTTCTTTCTCTGTTTCTCTCTGTCCTTTCTGGTTCTTCTTAACCTGTGCTTATGCTTCTCTGTTGGCTTTTTCTGTCTCTTTCTCCTTTGTCTTTTCTTTCTGTTTTTCTCTGTCCGTTCTGGTTCTTCTTAACCACTGCTTATGCTTCTTTGTTGGCTTTTTATGTCTTTCTCTCTCTTTCTTTCTGTTTTCTCTATCCTTTCTGGCTCTCTCTTTTGTCTGTTGGATTTGCCTTTCTTCTCTCTATTCTAGTTTGTATTTTGTTTAAGTCTCTTGTGTTTGCTTGTTCTCTTTCGATCTGTATTTTCTGTTTGTTTCTTTTTCTATTTTCTGTTTGTGTTTCTCTTTATCTCTCATATGTTTGTCTGTCTCACTCTCTCTCTCTCTCTCTCTCTCTCTCTCTCTCTCTCTCTCTCTCTCTCTCTCTCTCTCTCTCTCTCTCTCTCTCTCTCTCTCTCTCTCTCTCTCTCTCTCCTCTCTCTCTCTCTCTCCTCTCTCTCCCTCCCCTCTCCCCTCTCCCTCTCCCTCTCCCTCCTCCCTCCCTCTCTCTCCTTGTATGCGCGTACGTGCACAACCACATGCATGTATCCATGTACGTGTGCAAATCCATGTGTGTATGTTAGGCAAGCAATTCATTAATTAAGCAATAAATCAATAAAATCATTCTCTAGGCTGCTCTTAGACAGGAAGTTATTGACCTGTGTCGCCAGGAAAACATGACCTAATATAGATTAAAGGTCCGGCTCATAAAGTCGGTTTTGTAAGGGGAAAGAGTTCGTGCATTTGTTTGTTTTGTATTTGCTGAGTTTGGAATGTCCTTGTTGTATGGATAACAGTTTGTTTGTTTGAGTTTCGATCTTTGTGAGAACGGGTTGGTTATTTATTTTATTTTATTTTTTTGTCTCTTGGTTAAAATTTCGTTTGGTTTCAGATAGTTATTCATGCACTTCATCATCACCATTACTATGGCAATTTTCATTACCATTATTACCATTAGCATCGTCATTATCATCACCATTATCATTATTATCATTATTATCGTACTTATTATCATCGTTATCGGTATCATACTGATAATGATGATTGTTATTATTATCATTATTACCATTATTGGTATTATTATAGTTGTAGTTGTTGCATTTATTATTATTACTATATTACCATTACACTTATAATTATAATCACTACTAAGATTGATGACCTCAGTAAAACACCACATAACCTTTACATAACAAAAATGCTTGCTAAAAAATGAAGACATTTTTGTCACGCGTAAGTAGGCTTCCATTGAATGACGTCTGTTTCAACTGCCCGTCTTGGTGTCTTTCAGCTGTGTGTCGACCAGTTCCTCATCCTGGAGACTATGACGCCTCTCGACTTCATTGAATTCCGTAACTACTTGTCCCCGGCTTCAGGCTTCCAGAGTTATCAGTTCAGATTGCTCGAGAACAAGGTTGGACTTCGAGGGGTAAGTTTCAAGGGCGAGGTAGGCCTATGTATTGTTTTTTGGTGTGTGTGGTGTTTTTTTTTTTTTTTTTTTTTTGGGGGGGAGGGTATTGGGGTCTGGTTTGATATGGTGGTTTGTTTGACTTTGTTTTTTTTTAATAGTTTGAATGTCTTTTTGTCTCTCTCTCTCTCTCTCTCTCTCTCTCTCTCTCTCTCTCTCTCTCTCTCTCTCTCTCTCTCTCTCTCTCTCTCTCTCTCTGTGTGTGTGTGTGTGTGTGTGTGTGTGTGTGTGTGTTTTCAGCAGCTTTATTCTCTCCCTCTCTCACCTCTTTGGCGATCTGTTTCCTTCTAAATTTTTTCCCGTGCCTTTCACAGTCCAACACTTGAGTGCCAACCCTTTCCAACACGTCCTCATAACCCACAGGATCTCCGCGTAAGATACAACCAAGAGAACTACATGAAGGTGTTTGGAGACGAGCCTGAAGTCTGCAAAAACATCATGAAGTCCGAGGAGGAACCTTCCCTTCAGAACCTCGTCAGTCGCTGGTTGGAGCGCACACCGGGGCTCGAGGAAAAGGGCTTCAACTTCTGGAACAAATACAAAATGGCCGTCGATAGCATTTTGACGCAGGAGTACCGGGAGGCTGAGGTAAGCTCTGTCTTGTTTGTTATTGTTTTTTGTTTTTTTTCTAGTGTAGACATTTTTGGGGATATGGGCAGGGGGATTCCCATTAGTGGTATGGTACAGGGAACACCATGTTGAATTATGGCGATAGTGATGTTTTAGAAGGTCTTTACGGCTACAGTCCTTCTCACGAAGCGACAAAGACAATCGCTCTCACTCACAGACACAAAATGAGCGTTGTTTTACCTAACATCTAACGTATTCCTGCATCGCAGTCCTGGTAACTGACACCATTGCCCTTGTCCCTAACAAAAGCGTCCATGACCTTAACAGAATCGTCCATGATCCCTAACAAAAGCGTCCATGTCCCTAACAGAATCTTCCATGTCGTTATCAAAATATCGTCTATGTCCCTAACAAAATATCGTCCATGTCCCTAACAGAATCTCCCATGTCGTTAACAAAAACTCGTCCATGTCTCTAACAAAAGCGTCCATGTCCCTAACACCCCCATCTCCTTTCCACCCAGACCGAAGAATGCGAGACCTTACGGAGCCACCTGATCGACCAAAACAAAAAGAGGCGAGAGCTCTTCGACAGCATCTTCGACTCGAGGATCCACAACGCACTCATGGCCCGCGGAGAGCGACGTCTCACGCACCGGGCCATGCAGGGAGCTCTCATGATTTCCTTGTACAGGGAGGAATCGCGCTTCAACCAGCCTCACCAGCTCCTCCAGCTCCTCATGGATGTTGATTCGCTCATGACCAAGTGGCGATGTAAGTTGAGTCTGTGTGTGTGTGTGTGTGTGTGTGTGTGTGTGTGTGTGTGTGTGTGTGTTAGCAGCTTTTGCAAAGTGAATGGATTGTCGTTAAAAAAATATAAGTGGTGATAAACTGAGGTTGATAAAGTACCTTGCAACATGAATATACATGTAGAAATATTATTAAGGCAGATGCGATATTCGTGGGAGAAACTTATTACATATAAAGTTTCTATTCCTTCCTTCTTCTAATTCATCTCATTAGGAACACAAATAATTTCAAAAATGGTATACTACATTGCCCTTTACTTTTTTTTTTCATGTTACGGGGAAATGCTTTGGTACTCGTATACATTGTTATTCTTTTAATTTACCAGATCAGAAGTACCAATACCCCCGGACAATCTCCTAAGTGTAAAATCTTATTACAGACAGCCACG